TGGGAAGCATCCACTATTCATACTGGGGCTCTTGTTGCCTCCTGAACCAAGAAGGAAGTTAAGAGCTCCCCGGTGTTAGACAATTTGAATTTTTGGTGAGGGCCTCTTGCAACTTCCCCAGACACTCAGACTGCTGAGGAGGTTTGTTCTCGGGTGTCACTCTTCCTTCCAATCTCTCCAGGAGCAGCATTTGGGGCCAGGGAGCCAGTGAAGAACCAGCAACTCCAGCATACTCTGGGGCACGGAGCAGTGGGCAACCAGGACGTAGAGGGAAGTTGGGCTGGAGAATAGAGTGGGGCAGGGCTCAGAAGCCAAGCAAAGGAGAGTGGACTTGCTGAGATGGTAGGACAGAGACACTCACTGGGCCGAGACAAGGGGCCTAGAATTTCAGCCCTGCTCTGCCACCACCTGGCAGGTGGCCTTGAACCAATCAGCGTACAGCCAATGCACATCAGTGCCCTCATCTGTAAAACTGGGCATTTGAAACAAATGACCACTGAGAGGTTAGGGTCTATTTTCTTTCTTGCTCTAAATAAACACTCATGAAGAGTTTCTGAGGAAGAAAATGAAGTCATTCAAGCCAGGTCTTGGTAGAATTTAGCCTGGAAGAGGCATGCTAAGTGTCAGGTCAGCTGGGTGTTGTGGTTGAAGCCAGTTGGGTTTTCTGTTCTTGCAACATAAAGCAGCTGAATGTTTGTGGGCACTGTTCATTGAGGCAGATATTAAGGCAATGGGTTGTGAGACAGAGAGTCATGTTTGAATCTCAATTTCCATCCTTTCAGAGCCATGTGACCTTGTGACAAAGTTCCACTTCACTATTTCGAGTCTGTTTGTTCACCTGCAAAGTGAAGGTTAATCATAATGCCCCCCCTCTGTGTGGTTGCCAGGCGGGGAGGAGTTACTGCAGGCCAGAAGCGCCGCCCGGTACAAAAGCAGGCCCTCAGTAGACCTGGCTCTCATCAACAGGAGCCCAGGCAGGTCGCCAGCTGTCTTTAGGCTTCCCTGAATGCACCCTCACTTCTCCCATGCCCCTGCCCTCCTCACTGCTCCTGCCCGCTGCACTGCCTGCACTGCCTACCGCTGCCTTAGTTACTTCGGGTAAGTAGATTGCTTCCCTTATTTTCACTCAGACCTCACTTCCTTCTTCCTGAAACCCTTGGTGTTTTGGGAGCCATTACCACAGCTCCTTCATCTCTTCCCACTTGCTCCAAGATGCCTGCCCTGTCCCCAATAGAATCCACAGCGCTACTCCTGCAAGCTCTGTTCAAGGGCCCTACCACACTGGTGGCGGTGGCTTTCTGCCCAGTTTGAACTTCCCTTTGCTGTTGTTCCCTTCTAAGCACCCCCATCCCACCCACACATATCTACATGAGGTTTGGTGACCATGTCCTGTTTTGTAAATCCAAGTCAACCTCAGCTGATTTTCCCAAGAAAATTTCTAGGACAGGATCAAATGCTCTCTTAAACATCCAAGTCCAAAACATGTTTTCCCTTCATTTACTAGGAATGAAAACCTATTGGGAAAAGTTTGTTAGTGATGAGTAATCCTGTCTTAAGTCCCATGGGCAACAGCTTCCTTATTCTTGATATTACAGCTTGCAGGTTTTATGATGTATGTGTCTGCATTTTGAATTTGGAGAAGGAATCACTGTTCTGACTTTTCATCTCAAACTCGGACTTCTTCATGATTCTCAAGATGCCTCCGTCACAAAAAGGTAGCAAATGTACTTAAAAACTCAACTTCAGGAATAATGAAACAAATGTGAATTAAAATACTATTTTCTTTCAACTGGTATATTTTTTAAATGACAATTCCCAGAGCTGGTGAGGTTTTGTGGAAACTAATGTTCTCCAAAGAGTATAATTTGGAGTCACTTTCTTGGTGGGCAATTTGAGACATATAAAAAACCATTAAAATGTGCATTTCCTTTGACCCAGCAGCTTCATTTCTAGCAATTTATCCTAAGGATATAATTAAGAGTGCTCTCAAAGCACTGGTCAGAAGAAAGTATGTATGACATTATCAGTAGGTGGTGGTATATGGGTGACTTTTCTTTCTAGATTATCTGAAATGAATAGGCATTACTTTTGTGTATTTAAAGTTATTTTTAAGTAGTCTGAGAAAGGCCCATTTGAGAGATCGTTATCATTTTTCTTGTTGTCTAGAGGTCTCAACTTTCCAAACTAGGAGGTGGGTTCCACAGCAGGGCAGGAAACTTCTCCCCGCCCACCCACAGTTCACACCTGAGGCAACCACTTCAAAGGCCACCCTTTTCCCCAGCAGCTCTGCAGGTTTTATGAGCTTTGCCACCTTTGTCCCTCCTTCGCCTGTCATCCAGACAAAGGCAACAAGCCAACAAGCCTCGGTTGACCCCATGTTGGTGTGTCTCCCTTCCCTAGGCTCTCTGCTGCCTGCACCGGGGCCCGGCATTCCTTGCCTGCTGGGACACGCGTCTGCACCTGTCCTCCAGTGACAGAGAAGACTTATCCCTGAAATAAGCAGTCTTTGTGAACTTCCTTCTTATCATCCTCTGCATAGCTTAAATGCCTCCTCCCCGAGGCTGGGCATGTCCCATGCTTTGAGATAAGGGTAATTAACTATTCTAAGAAAAGTATTGCCATTTCCCTGCCCTGAAATTAGCATTTTTCCTCTACCTGAGCTCCATGGTTAGAACACACTCTGAAGAGAGGAAGGCAGGCGTGTGAGGGTCTTGAGGCAGGCTGTGTCGGATGGGGCAGGAACGTCATGGGCAGGGGTCCCCTTGGCAGAACTGCCCGTGTTTGAATTAAATCCTGGCTGCACCTTGGACAAGTTATTTCACCTCTTTATTCCTCCACTGCATGATGTGTGTCATGTCAAGGCACAACAGGCAATAAAGGCCCCTACCGTGCAGAGTTGCTTTGTGGATTCCACGAGTTTATGCACACAAAGGGCTTAGAGACTAGCCTGGTACACAGTAAGTGCTTAGTAAGTATCAGCTATTATTACCACTATTCTTTTAAAAGTTGGTGAAGTGCTCAGTAAATGGTAGGCCTCTTCCCTTCACTGTCCTCCCAAGTAACAGCAGTGATGTTTGTAGGGTTCTATGAGGGACTGGTGCTACTGATCATAGGACTGGCTAGTTGGGTGGTTGACACAGACGGCCCTGTATTTTTTTCTCATGAGAAATGTTTTCTCATTAGAGAACTGCATCCTGACCATTACCCCAAGGCAAGCGTTAAGAGTGCCCTGTACATACCGCCCTTAACACCTGCTCCAGCTGCTCGCTTGATGCTGGTCTCTGCCGCCTGACAGCTACCTCTTTGCTGCACATATTCTCCTTTTCACCTTCAACCTCCACCCTGAGCACAGGCCATGGCTGTAGTGAGGAGTAAATCACATCACTCAGAACAGAGTGTGGCACATTATAAGGTATTATCACCTCCATTTTACAAATAAGCATACTGAGACCTAGAAGTCAAGTGACTTGCTCAAGACCCTGCAGCTTGTAGACAAAGCTGGGCAGTCTGGCTCCAGTCCTGTCTCCGGGGGAGAAGGATCCTGTCCCTAATCACCACCACCCCCATTTCTAACTTCTCCCATTGACACTGGCATTTAGATGTGTTCACACCTCCCCACTAAGAACAATAATAAGCAGCCCTCTTTCAACCCCTTCTTTCTTTCCTCCCTTTTTCATGGCTCCACATTCTCACCTCTGCTTTAAGCCTCTCCAACCTGGAATGTTCCCACCACTCTGCTGACTATGTCTAAACCCAATGGGTTAAACGGCTTAAATCTCCTTAGCAGTGTTTGTCCTTCCTGCCTTCTCTTGGCTTCCAGACACCTCCTCCTTCTCTTCTCGCTCAAACATGTTCTCATCTGCTCAGTGTCTGCTAGGTCTCTTTTTGGGGCTCTAGGTGTCAATGCCCACCTGCCTGGTGGACATCTCCACGTGGATGTCAGACACCTCCAGCTCAGCCTGTGCCAAACGGAGCCCATCACTTCTCCTCTCCCCAAACGGTCACTTCACTTCCTCATCTCAGAGAAACGTGTTGCTACTCACCCAGCTGCTGGAGTCAGAGGCTGGGCAGTCTTGACGCCTTTCTCTTCCCCACATCCAGCCAGCCACCAAGCCCTGCCGCTTCCACCTTCTTAATATCTCTTGAACCCACCAACTTCTCTCCATTCCTGCTTCAATCACCCTAGTAGAAATCATCACTGTCTCAGACAAGACCAGTGGCTGGCTTCTTACATGATTTTCAGATATAGTATTATCTCCCAAAACCCAGTCTTCATAAGCAGATGGAGAGAGCTCCCCCCCCCCCCAAATGCAGATCTTACTAAGTCCTTCTGTTACTTAACATTGTTAAGGTGCTTCCTATCTGTTACTTAAAATTGTTAAGGTGCTTCCCTTAGGATGAAGTGCAAACTTGTCATGTGGCTGGTGAGGGCCACAACAATCTGGTCCCTGTCTACCTCCCATGGCTCATCCTGAGCCCTCCTCCCTCAGCCCTGCTGTGCAGCAACCCCAGACCATTCTTGTTTCTTAAAGACAATGTACTCTCGGCAAAGGAAGTGTCCTGCCCCTTGGCCTCGCTGTCCTGGCCTTCTCATCTAAATTTAAGTGACTTTTCATCCAAGAGATGTTCTCTGACCACCCCCATCAGACCTTATGCATCCCTGATCCTAACAATTACTGCACACTTTTGTCGCTGTCTGCCTTTCTAGCATCTCCAAAATTCCATGAAGGTCCAAACTGCACATCGTGTTCACTGCTGAGTCCCAGCGTGAGCACAGTGGTTTGCACACTGAGAGCACTCAGAGGTGGCAGTGATTTCCACCTGTTTGTGGACCTTTTTTCTCGTACCATGGGCCACCTCCCTGTCAGTCTCTCCCATGGCTTGCCAGGCCTTGCCCACCAGAGTTAGTGTTTCACCCATCATGAGCTCCTCCCCAAATACATTCTTTTCCAACAACGGTTTCTGCAAAAAACTTTCTGGAAGGATCACATCTGCCACAGTTGCCTTCATAAGAATGTTTTTTTTTTTTTTAATTATTACTTAGAAATGCAGTTATATACATAGAACAATTAAAATTAAATTAAACTTTGTACAAATATTAAAATACTATCTTCACACCCACTGCAATGTACAGGATACCAAAAAATATATATATGAAATAAAATAAAGCAAATCCAAACTGATTGAGTGACATCCTGCACAGGGTCAATTGCGAATGTATTGTTTTAAACCATTATGTGTACCATTCTACAAAGGGTTCCATAGTGGTGCAGTAACCTGAAGAAGCCAGGGCAGGGTACAGGGGCTGTCACACAACCTGCATCCATCCCTCCTCCCTGCTTGGCAATCCGAGTGCTCTGCCCCTGTGTCCTCTCCAACTAGCTCTGCTGCTTGGCAGAGGGCTCAAACTTGGGGTTTTTGTTCAAAATTCTACTAGGTTTTCAACTGGAAATTAAGAATTGCTTCCCAGCAAAGCTGGGCCTGCCACATTTCCCTCTCCAGGGAACCAGCAAACGCACCACTCAGACCAAACATCTGCCAAGCAAAATATTCTCCAAGCCCCTCCTTGGGGCACCAGTAATGACTATCCCTATGCCGAGAGTCAGGAGACCCGGCAGGCCCCATGAGAGACGATCCCAGCCTCGCTGTCCTTGGCAAGCACATCTGGAATTAAGCTGTGAAGCCTGCGTGCCACTTCCCTTCTAGGCCCTTTTTCTCTTTGAGGAGGGGGGAAAAAAAAGTAAGGATGTAGAAATGTTTGCAGCATATTTCATTCTCTATATAAGGACGTTCCCCGGAAGTGGAGGCGACACTATTACGTGGGAAGCAAGTGGTCTGAGAGCTCAGCTGGGACTAGGAGGGAAAGGATCGGTACCCGTGCCACCACCAATGAAGCAGGAAAAGTATACCTTTGTCTGTCTCGCCTTCAGGCTTCTGCACAGAGCTTTAAAGCTGGGGGTGGGAGGAGGAGGGCAAGATGAATGGGGGAGACTATGTTAGTTTAAGTTCTGTTTGCAAATGGAGTGCTTGTAGAATGTACATGGAAAATGCCTTATAAAACCAAAGTGGCCAGGACTAGCCCATTTCATAGTTACACCCAGTGAAATGGGAACACAGCACACGAAACACAGAAATGGCGACAGATACAGCCAACATGCTAAACTAAGGCATGGAGGGGACGGAAATTTTAAGTGATTTTACCATATTCTGGCCCTTGAAAATCACTAGAATGTGACTGCAAGTTACCAGGATATAAAACCTGCATTGAGTCAGCTCAAATGTGCAAAAGAAAGAAAAAAAAAAAAAAAAACCACCCTTTTAAAAGTCCTTTGGTGCTGACCATTTCTTCTGGACCAGCCTTCTGCTGGACGCCCCCAGAGATGATCCTGGGAAAGCAGGGCTGTGGCCACAGTGTGTCCCCACCTTCTCCGGGCTCCTCCAGCAGCCTCCCTCCTAACAGCCTGCCATCCGACACCAGCCCTGGTCTCTCTGCCAGGCCCCCATCTCAAGGCAGCTGTGGAGTCTCTAATCCCTCTGCAAGGGACAAAGCCCAGAAGCCCTAGAAACAGCAGCACATGGCTGATGATTAAGAAATTGCTTTGGGGAAAAGAGAAATAACTGGGGGAAGAAGCTGTCATAGACTTCAGCAGGCCCAGGAGCCTCCAGGAAGTGGGCCTCAGCAAAGCCAGTGACAGGAGGGAGGGGAGGGAATCTAAGGCTCCCATTGTTCTGATTTCTTACTCTCCTACCAAGTGGGCAAGCCTGGGCTTGTGATTCCCAGAGCAGTGTTAATGGAGGGCGAGGTGGAAGGAGGCTTTGGGAGAAGGCAGGCTTTTCATTTTACCAAATAAACCCAAAACAAAAAGTGCAATCTCTTAGGGGGAAAAAGCCCAGAGTAGCAAGGTAGAAAAGGACAAGATCTTCCATTTTAAAAAATATTCTAGAAGTCAGGTTTTGGAAGAGTGGAAGAGCGAAGCTGAAGGCTCAGCAGTGAGACTGTATTTCTTTCCCCTCACCCCATCTGCCGCTGCCTTCTATTTTGGAGGAAGACAAGGCCAGCACTATGGGTGAAGGCGAGCCCATGTGGCAAGGTGAGTAGGGCCATTAGGGACCCCCCTCCCTAACCAGTCTCATCTCCCTTCTAGTTCTAGCACCTTCTCCAAACTGTTTCCTACCTAACCATGCTTGCCTGGGCTTTGGGCACAGCAGACGAGGGCTCCTGGGGGCGGAAGGGTGGCCAACAGGCACAGCAGGCACTGCCCTTACCCTGAGAGGAAGGAAGGAAGACTACGTGCGGCAAGAGGCCAGGGGACAACCAGGCGGTAAAGTGCGTGTGTGACAGTGGAGGCAGGAGGTGAGGGCAGCGGCTGGGAGGATGCCGTTCCCCTCACCTTCCGGCCACCCACGCCTGAAGCTAACCCTGCTCCTGCTCGGTGAGGGACTGAAAATACACTGAGCTTTTTATTATTTTTACCACCCCAAGTAGAGAGGCTCGGGGGAGGAGCAGACATGCACAGAGTCAGTTTTGAAGTTTCCCAGCCCCAGTGCTTCAGGAAAAAAAAAAACAGAAACAAACATTCCTTAATGCCACATCTATCTTTTGAAGATAGTGGCCTGGTGGAGATGGTACACCCAGACTGGTCAGCACTCAACACGTGGCTAATAAGCGGGAGCACCCCCTCATCGCCAGGGCTCCTCCACCAAGGGCCCTGCACCCCAGGCTGCTCCACGCCCCTCCCCCCACCTCAGGCCGGTAAGGTCAGAGGTGCACACAGACTGTTTCTCAGCCCTTCCCCCAGGGTGCCAGGGAAGAGGAGGAGTCTCCTGTCAGCTGAGACATGCGGAAGGGTGGCAGAGAAGGGCAGAAAAGTAGGAAAAGCAGCAGCGCAGCAAGCAGCAGGCCACTTCCTGGGCACAGTTACTAAGGCACGTGACCGTGGTGGGGAGGATCCTCAGGACCGGGCTGAAGCTGCCTGCAGCCAACCGGGGACTCGGTCTGTGCCTTTCAGCCTCCCCTCCATCACCACAAACCCAGAAAGGTGCAAGTTGCCCAGGCTGCCAGTGACCAGATGGGCACTCCACGGCATCACAGCAACTCTCTTGCCCCCGGCTCCTGTGAGCAGCAAGGAAGCCAGAGCTCTCTGGGATAAAACCCAGGAGGCAGCATGAAACTTCCCCTTATACTCCAGGGAAACAGAAAAAAAAACCGAGGCCAGGAAGGCCAATGCTGGAAGTAGGAAGTGAGAACTTGCATATTAGGAAGACAATCATTATCAGCCACCTGCTTTACCACCCTCAGGATCTTCTGGATGCTTCTTGGAGACTCTCAACTCAACAGGGCCAGGAGCCTGCACCTCTGAGCCAGGCGCTAGGGCAGCTTTGGCATAATTTTCCAAATCCTCTATCTTCAGCCAAGGAAACGTGCCACTGGTGTCAACCCAGGGCAAGCCCAGGGACCCACACTCTTGCCCCAATTAGAGCCAATCCTGACTCAAGAGCTCTCACTCTTGGATCTGCTCCTGCAAATGGCAGCGGTGACAGCCCTCAAAGGAAACAGGCCAGACCCAGGCCGGGCCCCTGGGTGGCAGGGGGCAGCAGTGCAGCCACAAAGGCTTGTGGACAGCAAGACAACAGGGAAAACTGGGCAGGGTGGGGAAGGCACAAGTAAACATGGCAGCATCAGCCCACGCAACCCATGGGGCTGCTGCCAAAGAGCTGGCTGGAGGGGACCCAGAGGCTTAGGGAAAGGGAGGGCTCGATCCAGCACATTCAAATATGTCCCCGACAGATGGGAAGGCTGGGCCAGGCAAAGAGCCAGCTCCTCCAGCTGTCCAGCAGGCAGATGGCGAGAATCTTCCTTGAGTTTCCAACGAGGTGGGCCTGCAGGCCCTCAGAGATACACAGATACACAGGTGGCAGCTCAGGTACCCGGGCAGGGTGGCTGGAGAGTACAGGGTGCTCATACCCACAGGGAGAGGGAGAAGGGCAGAGGACCCTCACAGAGAGGAGAGGAGAGGCTGGCTGCAGCCCTCATGCTTCTTTCAACAGTGGAATATCTGCAGGAAGACAGGGAAGGAAAGCACAGTGGTTACCCCATGTGGGTCTCTCCATATTGCTCCTGATACCCTTGTAGGGGCCCCCACACACGGCCCCTAATTTAAAGAAATAAAATGCTCCCCCATACATTTCTAGGTAGGCGAAAATTCCCCACCTCTTTTTTAGGCCTTTCTGGCTATCTCTCTCACTGCCTATGTGATAAAATCTGGACATTCAGTCTGGTTTTCAAACCACCACCATGAACCCTCTTCTGCCTTAGCTCTGCCGGTCTAGTCACTCCCCTTTCTCTGCTAAGCCCACGCTCTGAAGGTACAAGGCCCTGCTTAAGTCTCACTACCTCCTAAAGCCGTCTGCCAGTTGTGTGGCCTCCCATAAATCACTTCCCCTCTCTGGGTTTCAGTTTCCTCATATGTCAACGGACCTCAAGCTCCTGACTTCCTATGGTATTATCAGACCCAAACAGCTCAGGTGTGGCCTGCAGTGAACTCACTGACCTGTGTCTTGTTTTCCGAATCCCTCATTCTATCACAGATCCTACACATTCTTGGTACCATTATTTCTCACATACGGGTCCCACTATCTTCCCAAATGACTGACACTCCATGAAGGCAGGGAGCATGTTTTATATTTCTCTGTATCAACCCTAATCCAGGCACCTAATCCAGGCACAAGATAGGCTCTCAAAAAAAAAAAAAATGCCTGTTCAGTACAAGGAAGAAAGCAAGCAGTCGAGGAAGAGAAGGAAGAACAGGGCCCCATCTTCGCTCCTTGGGAGGATAAGAGCTGCAAATGTGCACTTAGACACATCTCACAATATGTGTGGCTGACTGTCCACGGGTCACTGGCTTCCACATTCAAGCTCACTAGCCAACCAAGAAAAAGGCAGCAAGCTGTGATAACCAGGAAGCACCACAAACACAGTCTGTTTGCTTTCAGATATTCTAAACCTTAGGCATTTACCATGCCAAGGATACCCAGGAAGCACACACTCTCCTCCAAGGCTCTTTTAGGGAAGCTTTATGAGTATAGAAGTCCTCACTACCGAAAGGTGACATCTAGGTTTAGTTTGCATCCTGCACTACACTGGGATGTAACTTAAAGATATTTTTTAAAGTGACAGACTCAAGCCCAAGGTTAAATTGGGCTCCAGGAAAAGCAGAAACACCAGAAGGCAGTAATTTCATTCTATGGCTTATATGCCACAAATACGCTGGAATCACCTGGAAGGAAACAGGGTTTGGAGCCAGACTCATCTGGCTTCAAATCCCTGCTCAGCAATTTACCAGCGGGCCAAGTTACATACCTTCTCTGAGTCCCAGTTCCCTCATCTATAAAATAGGGATAGTAATGAATACCTGTATCTCAGGAGTATTGTGAGGTTTAACTGAGACAGTGCACGAAAACTAGCACAGTACCTGGCATACTTCTGTTTAGAATGAAGCAGCTGTCTGCTCTGGGAAAGAGACAGGCTCTTGTTTCTCTGTAATACAACCCCCTGCCTCTTTGTTGCTCCTGACCTTTCAGGAACATGAAAATCATAACAAGAGGACAGACCCCACCCCCACCCTCAACCAGCTGTCTACCTTTTGATTTAGTACGGCCTTGTGATGATGGGAGACTCCAAACTATAAAAATTCATAGAAAACAGTGAAAAGTCTCCCTATAGAGAGCCCAAAGCCCTACCTGGTACTCAAAGGGTAAAATCCCATTCTATAGGCTAATACCCCAGGTATTATCTTTCTTTGCTGAAAATATACCACTTATTAGAGAGGCTCAGTACTTCCTCCCTCCCAGCAAGGCCCTCATGCAGCTAACAATTCAAGTTCAGCTCAGACCACCTACCATCTGTGTACTCCTCTGAAGTGAGGGATAAGAGGCTTTGTATGTCACTGTTCTCTGAATCTGCAGTGTCTTTGTTGTGTGCCAGTCGGCTGTTCCCTGAGCCGGCCACCCAGGAAGAAGTGGCTGCCTGATGCACCGTCACAGTCTCCGAGCCCCGGGAGCCCCAGGCTTCACACAGTCCAGACTGGCCTGGGGCCTCATCCTCTCCAGCCGCAGAGGAGCAGGCTCCCTGGTCCTGTAGCTGCTGCTCCCGCGGCACACTCCTCCCACTGGGCCCGGAGCCTTCTGACAGCACGATCTGCACTCTGGGGTCAGCGGGCGGCACACAGTGACCGGCACTGCCATACACAGCCTCCTCGTACGACGGTAGTGCGACCTGGACTCCATCCACCATGATGGAGACCTGGTCCCCTGACACGCCCTGGTCACGCCTGGATTGGAGGAGGAAAAGACAAAGGAAGAATTAGAATAAACATACAGATAAATAAATAGCATGATAATATCAAAAGCAGCCACCATTTTGGGAGGACTTACTATGTGTCAGGCACAGCACTAAGGACTTTAAACACTTTCTCACGCTGGATCCTCACCTGAGCCCTTTCAGGTAGGGATTTACCAAGAATGCAGATGAGGCTCAGAGAAGTTAAGTAACTTGCCCACAGTCACACAGTAAGGGATGGAGCTATGATTTCACTCCAGTTCCATCTCCTTCCAGAGACAGTGTTCTTAATCTCTGGGTATACAAGCACCTGGCCCTCTGGTCCTGTGCAAAAACTAGTAGCCCAGAGATCTGGAAATAAAGCCATGCATTCAGCACAACTATGATAAGAATGGGAGAGAATGATGGTGGCACATATCTGTGAATATACTAAGAACACATTTCATTGTACACATTAAATGGATACATTGTTTGGTATATATGAATTATATCTCCATAAAGCTGTTTAAAAAAGGGGGGGGGGCAATATGGCCTTAAAATGGGATACTGGACCAGGAATCAGATGACTTGCATATTTCCAACTCAGCCACATTGCTTGACTTTCTTTTTTAAACTCTGTAAACTTTAAAAAAATTATATGTGAATTATAACAAAAATACAGAAAAGAACACACAGAAAAATCTACATACAGTTCACTGACTTATTCTAAAGGTAAGACTGGTATAAAACTCTTACCTAGGTCAAGAAATAGAACACTATTCACACCCTAGACCCCCTTGTAGTGTCCTAATCACTCTCATTTCCTCCCCACAAAAAAGAACCGCTATCCTGACTTTTAAGGAAATCACTCCTTTGCTTTTTACTTTAATCGTTTTACCACCTAAACTTGAATCCTTCAACCCTGCAGTTTAGTTTTGCATATTTTTAAATTGTATATGAATGCGACGCACAGTACATTTGTGAATCTATGTCTGTGAATCTCTAACTTCTTTTACTCAACATTTTATGTGTGAGATTTATTTACGCAGATACCTTTTGTTATAAACATAGACAAGTAAAGTGAAGACGTTATTTAGCATGCACCACCTAAGAGCCTCCTCTCAGATATAACTACAACATCATCACATCCCAGGAATTTAACACTGGTATAATACACAAATTTTCCTAACGATCCAAAAATATATTCATTTCAGCTGCAATCATCTTTGTTTTCATCCAGGACACAATTAAGGACTATGCATTGCATTCAGTTGTTCTGCCTCTTTCACCTCCTTTAATTTGTAACTGTCTACTATAGTTTTTCTTTATGATGGTGGCATTTTTTTTAACAGTCCAGTCTAACTGTCCCATAGAATGTCCCACCGCAATCTGGAATTGTCTGGTTGTTTTCCTCAGGATTGGATTCAGACCAATTTTGCCAAGAACACTACACAGGTGATGCTGTATCCTTTCAGCTCATCACATCAGGAAATACACATGGTCTGTTGCTCAACCATTTATACTGTTGCTAGATTGTTGTTAGTGGATCTCAATTTCCTTACCTGTACTGGGAGATAAAAATCTGTGCTACGTAATTCAAATAATGCACTCACTATGAGGAGAAAAGTAGCCCCTTAAAAGTGACCAGAGATTTTTGGAAAGAAGGAAAACTTTGATGGCAAGGTGGCACAGAAAGCAGTGTGTACACTGGCATGTGCTTAAACTTTTGCTATTCAAAATAGATTTTTTTTTTGTTTAAAAAAAGGTAATTTAAATGGGGTCTAAATCTCCCTTCTACTCAAGTTAGGCAAAGTCAGCCAGTTACTTTTAACAAACTTACTATAACAGTTAACTACAGAGGGGGGAAAATCCCCAAGATTCTATATTGGGGATTGAAATATTCCATTTTTCATCTAATATAGCTATCAAAATAGATCATTTTGACTTTATGGAGAAATAGCTGATTATGTCAAGTAAACAATCTCCTTCAAATTCTCTTTATTCTATTAATTAACAATCTTTAAAAATAACTCCTACCTCTTCCCAAAACAGAACAAAAGGAAGAAGAAAGAAAAAAAAATCACATAGTATACAGAAATTAAATTTAGCCTGGTCCTTATCTGTCAATTCCAAGCCTGGAGCATTTTACTGAATGCAGTTCAGTTTGGCCCTTTATGCCTGTGACTGATGAGTGACGGATGAGGGGCTGTGAATGAATATAAAAGATGTACTCCTCAAGAGGGAATGGGAACTGCCAGGAAGAGCCAGGCAACTCTTTCGGACAACCCGAAAGAGAAGTCCATCGTGGGGAATCCACTCGGGGCCAGCACCATTGGGGATCCTCCTATTCACCGCTCCCCAGTTCAGAATCATTTGTGACTAATGCACTATACTGGAACAAGGAAAGTGAAAAAGGCAGGCAAGAAAACCCACTTTCTCTGTTTTTCATCAGTATAGGGCAGTGGTTCTCAAGCCTAGCTACACATCAGAACCACCTGAGAAGCTTTTTATAAAAATAGAATGCCAAGGATCCAACGTGTGGGCCTGGAGGCCCAGGTGTTGGTATTTGTTTTCAACTCCCTCTACTGTGTGGTCAGGACTGGGAGCTGGGAATGCAGGGCAGTGGCTCACAAGCAAGCATGCATCAGAATCACCTGGAGGGCTTGTTAAGCCCCCTCACTGGGCCTCAGCCCCCTGAGCTTCTCATTCAGCTGGTCTGGGATAGGGCCTGAAAATACACATTCCTAATAAGTTCCACGATACTGTTGCTGCTAGAACCACACTTTGAGAACCTCTAGTGTAAGGGAAATGACATGGCTTTGGAGTTGATCAGATTTAAGTTCTAATCTCAGCTCTGCTATCATTTAACAATATGACCTTGAACGAATTACTTAACCTCTCTGAGCCTCAGTTTCCTCATCTGCAATGTTCTTATGAGAATTAAGACAATGTATGCGAAGCAACAAGCACAGTGCCAGGCACATCCAGGAATTTACACATGGCAGGGCCCTCCCCGTCCCCTGGGCACACACAGACCAGCAGAGGCTGGCAGATCACCAGCAACCCTCTGCCAGTCAGGCCGCCGCACAGGAGCACTGCTGTTGGACTCACCTGCTATGATGGAAGGACTTCAGCTTTGGCTGCAGTAACACAAACAGCACCACGAGGAGGAGAATGAATGCGACGGAGCTGGCAGTGGAAGCCACTATAGACAGCGTGGAGACCCCGAGTGATGTGTGGGTATCTTTCTCTATAAAAACAAGCCATCATCAGAAGGGTTTTGTACCCAGACACACAAAACATGGGCCCCACAGCTGATCTTTCGAAACGCCCTGAGTGATGCAATACAGAGATATCCCTATGGTCAGGGTCATTTCAGGAATGACAGTGTAGAATAACCTACATATACATGGTGCTCCTGGAGCGGGACCATTGGCCTATCCTGCTTCCTGAATAAAAAGTTCCCTTCACTCCTGGCCTTTGAGGTCCATCTGATAACTATACTCACTTAACCCTAGAGAGTTTACCTTTATAAACCACTTTGAGTCCATCCTGAATAGCAGGTAGGTAAACAGCAATCATTTAAATAGGCACATCATTCTACCATCTTAAGTCCCACTCATGTTTTTCCCCATGTGGCAGGATAATTTGTAAGGACTGACTGGACTAAGTCCCTGTCCTAAGGTCCCACAGATTTATTCGTAAATCTCAGGTTGGCTCCCACCCTTCTCTGGCATGTCACAGGTTAAACATGTTCTGGTCTCAAAGCCTGAGTGTGAGGCATAAAGATGGCCATATGACACACACTTTCCTGCAGCAGCTGGATTTTCCTGTCATGCAAGACAGGAAGAGGCAGGAGGGGTGAGAGGTCTTCTGTCCAGCTGAACTATAGCTCCAAAACAAAACAGTTCATTTCCATTCAAGGAAAAATAAAATGAAAGCGACACCAGAGAAGGTGTTAGCATTGTGCTCATTGTGTTAGCAGAACATGGTCAAAGGTCACCAACATTTGGCAAGGCAAACAAGATATCCTGAACTTCAAAGGGGCTTTACATAGCAGGGCAGATGTCTCCATAAAGCTACTGAGCCCCTCGGTGGATCAGTGAAATGCAATGGGACGTGCACCAGCAACCCCAAATGTCTTCCAGAGATATGAAATCCCAAGGAAGGAAGGAAGCAGAGCATCAAATGGGGCTCTGCTGCACTGCAGCAGAGGGTGCTCCGGAGGAAGCATGCACCACTTCCCAGGAGTTCAGAGAGCAGAACCCCAGCAGCATCCCCTTCTCATCCGCCAGACTGACCCTCGTTGAGATGGCAGCTAATCTCCATGGCCGGTTTCCACTCGCCATTCTTACACGTCAGGTATTTGTAATCGCCCTTCAACATGTAGCCTTCAGCACACAGGTATTCGATGACACTGCCCGCTGTCAGGGGGTCTCTGCAGGGCCGGGGGTGGCAGATGTAGCCACCATTCTCTGGCTCTGGTGGCAGGGGGCACACTGCAAAGACAGAGAGAGAGCAGTGGTACAGTGGTGAGGTTTTCCAGCGGGAGTCTCCTTTCCATGAGGCAGCACTAACCGCCTTAACGGGAAACACACTAGGAGCAAAGAGTCATTCCCTTGGGAAGGCGGCTGACCAATCCTTGGAAATTCAGGGTGCCCCTGGCAGAGAGGGAAGTACAGGGCAACAGGGGAAGTCTGGCTGCTTTGCAACACTTCCCCTCTCCCACCCCACTGCGCCCTAGGAAAACGGCATCCATAACTGAATGGCAGACTCTAACAAAGTCTTAACCTACAGAGATCTAGACACAATATGGTTTTAATAAAACCTACTAACACACACAAGGAAACAGAGTAAAACGAGGTAAAAGACTGTTAAACCTGTGAGGGAAAAATGCTGGCCCTGTTTCTAGCATCAATGTCAGAAAGGGCTCCACAGTGTAATAAAAATGTGCACTCTTGGCTTCAGAGGGGATTTCTGATGGATTTCTTGGGAGGCTTCCCAAGCTCCCTGTGCATCTTCCATTCTCTGGCATCACTTGTCTCTGTCCCAGAGTAAATCCCACGTTTTTCATTCAGGTAAGGCTGTCTAATTTTAAAAGCACCTTCACCTCCTACCTTATTTACTTGTCCCGACAACTCTGTGAGTAGTTATCATTTCTCCTCTTTGAAGATGAAGACACCACAAAAGTTAAGTGACTTTTAGCCAAGCGTAAGGCAGGGTAGATGGCAGGCCTGGGATCAGAGTCAAGCGTTCTGACTCTACACCCGCGTTCTTCCCACCAGCAGACACTGCTCCTATCCCACGCTGTGTGGCCTTTAAGGGGTATGTGTGTATCAAGGTAAGTTACCTCCCCTTCTCTCCTTTCGAACATTCAGTTAGGAGGTGGCAAGCGGTGTGGTGGGAACCCTGGTGAGCTGCGGTAACGGTAAGTCAGGGGAGCTGGGAGGGCTGAGCAGCCCTCGGAAGGAGGAGGGCAGCCCCTGACTCCACTCTGGACAGACACTGCGGGATTGAAGCCTGCCTGCAGTGGACCGCTGGGCATCCCCAGCTGAAATAGGAGGGGCGCAGTAGGGGTGCTAAGGAATCACTGTTTGGAAGGCTGGGCTGGGGGAAGAAAACATGCTAGCAGGATGGCCAGGCACCCATGAATGCAAGAAAAACCAAACGTTTTCCAAAGGAAATTTGATTTTGCTGACACATACCCTGCCCCCATCCTGAATATCACAAGGACATCTGTATGAGAACAAGAAGGTTTCTTTTTCTCACTTCCTCTAACAGGCCTGGAGTGACTGGGAGTCCCAGATAAGGTGTGCTCCCTTCCACAAGACTGCCCGCCCGTACCACCATGCAGACGTGCCCTCGCAGCCTCTCCCCCGGACGCCACCTTCCTCCAATCTACACATGGCCACTGAGCACACTGACTGCCAGCCAGTCTGAGGGTGGGTACCAAGTCAAAAAGAGATGATGGCTCTCTGCTGTCAAACTGCTGATCACTAGGGGGGTGGGGAAGTGGAAAGACTCCATTTTTAAAAAGCTATTAACAAAGCAAAACAAAGCTGGGTAGGTGCCATGGGATCCAGGGAAGTCTGGCAGCTTCTCTGAAACTAGGAGATATGCAAAGTCCTCAGTCCCCTCTAAGGACACACCTTCCCCACTCTCTGCCCCCCACCCCAGCAGGGTCTTGAACAGGAGGGAGACAGACACAAATACTCCTGGCACTCTCTAAACTTGGGCCAAGTGTTTCAGAAAGCCGGCCAGGCTGGATTCCCAGAGAAACCTCAGCAAACTGCTTTACCCTTCACATTTTCCCTCTTTTGTTCAGGGCAGCAAGCCTGCTACAGATCTCCCCTGCTCCCTGGCTGTCCTTGGACTGTGTCTAATTGGTTCATTTCCTTGGCATAATTAATGCCGAGCACCCCAGGGCAGCTCCTGAAAGCAGGCAGGATCCACAGGAGTCCAATGTGCTGGGAAAGATGGTCTCAGGGGAGAGCTGCTGACTCTACAGACACTCCTACTTTGCTGGTTATTTCTGCCCATAAAGCCCACGTCACCACAGAATCTTTGACGGGGACTCTGGAGGTCACCTGGCACTCATTTCATAAGTAAAAAAAGTAAGGCTGACAAAGAAGTGACTTGCAATTCAATTTAATTTCAACCCAACTAGTATTTATTGATTACTGTGTAGGGGTCATTGTGCTATGCCCTGAAAAATGATAAAAAGATAAGTACTTCAGGTACTTATAGCCAAATAAGGATATGACAATTAAGTGCACAAATACTTTTAAAACTCATTTTCTTTATGGCTTCTGGGTTTTGAGTTTGTTTAAAGGACACTTTCTCTACTCTGAGATTGTCAAAATAAACATACTCTAATATTTTTTATAATGTTTTATAGTTTGTTTTACAGAAAAAAACAAACTGATAGGAAATATATATACATGGCATACAAATTCAGAAAGAAGGGTATATAGTGAAAAGTAAGTCCCTCTCCTGTCCCCTCATCACTTAATCTTCTCTCCAAAGGCATTGCAGCAGTTTTTTCAGTATTCTTCTAAAAATATTCTATACACAGATTTGTTCTAATACATGTCAAAGAACGTGATTCATGCCACAAGAGAGGAAGCTCAAAGCAGGAGAGATCACATCTTGTGAGGGGGAGATGAGGAAGAGCTCTCGGAGGAAGTGGCATTTCTATGGGCATCCCTTCACCAGGAAGGGGGATGGTAGTCTGAAGCAAATGCATTGCAGTGGGAAAATGTAGGTTAAGCCCAGAGAACATCAAGTAGCCCAGTTCTGCTGGGTTGAATAATTAAAAAAAAAAAAAAAAAAGTCCAAAAAATTTAAAAATGTGAAGAGGGATGAAACCATCTTGCAGAGGGACTTGACTGCAACAGGAGAAAGGGGGAGCCACTGAAGGTTCTTGAGAAGGTAAGCATTACAACAGGAGCTGGATTTGATGTAACAGACGAGGAGAGACCCCTTAGGATTATGTCAACATTACAACAGTCTCAGTATAATAAAATAAACTCAGTGTAAAAGTTCTTTTTCTGTTTATCTATAAAGGTCATATGAAAGAAATAAGATAGAGTACATCAGGTTAATCATGAGATGCTGCTCCAGGTTTAAAGAAGGAAATGAGGAGGGCTTAGAAGAAAGGGTAAAAAAAAAGCAGTCATTTTTAAGATGCCAAGAATACATGAAAAAAAATGTGGCTCCCATACCCAAGAGCAGAGTGGGACAGTCCTGGCCAAGGGCAGAAAGTGAAGAGGACCTTCTTGGTGATTCCTGGGAAGAACATCAAGAAAAAGCAAAATCCATGCAGCAAATAAATCGCCCAGGGGCTTCTGGAAGCTGCCATCCTGAGCAAGAGGCTGTCTTAATCTGTATATCAGGCTCACTCTCTGACAACTCCAGGTCCACAGAGGGAATTTCAGGCTCCATTCTTAACCCCAAGAAGACAATAAACTCATATGATTTGGCAATGTTACATAATTTTAAAAGGTCAGAGAGAAAGCCAGACAATTTACAGAAAAAAAAAAAAATCAATTACTTCTCCTTAGCTTCCACTCTGCTTTCCATTCTCTGCCACAGCCACTTAGGCCCCCAGTGGGCATCCAGTGAAGCCCACTCGGACCAGCTGGTGAGTGAGGATGCAGATGTGGAGAAGCAAAATGATAATTCCACCTCAGTGACCTCAGGTGACACCCTCAGCAGAAACCCACATCAGCCCTTCTGCAGGTGTTCTGCTTTTGTTGTTTTGGAGACCTGCCTTTTAGGAGGAAGAGGTAAATTAAAACAAAACAAACTTTTATAACATTCCATATGAGCAAAGCAAAGCAAGCTCCAGGAAAGGCCCTGGGGGTCAAAGCGTTCAGTTTAACAAAATGAACACATACTTGAGCCCCTTCAAAACAAAGCCTGGGGAGTAGGCACATGAAGATCAGGGAGGCAAGTGCCCCTGCAGCCTCCAAGGGATTAGAGTGAGAGAAGGAGACATTTGAACATCCAGTACATTTTTAAAAGACTAAACAAAAGAGGTTTCTGGCTGACAAAAGCTATCAAGAAAACACTACATCCCCCAACACAGCAACTGAGGATTTCAACGATGTCAGTGTTCACTCACTGGTTTGAAATAATGTAGTTTTAGACCAAAATACTGGTGCAGTAGCATTTGGGACACAAGGCGGCACAGAGAAATAGGTGCTTAATGAAGGTGTTGAAAGAAAGGATGACCAGAGAGAAGCTTCCCTGGGAATTCGAGGGAGAAGAAAGAGGTTCCCCCAAATCCAAGGCACTAACTCTGTACCTGTAATGATCAAAAACACAGCTGGACAGTACTACAAATGTCCCTACTTGGTTGTAATTCCATCAAACACTTAGAGTGGGCCCTCTCCACACAATATCTCTAGGAGGGCCATAAAGGTAAATGTGACAGAACCATGCCCCCCAAAAGCTTACAATCTAGAAGACACAGATATTGCACATGGCCAGCTCTGACATAAATCAACGCAGTAAATGTGAAATATGACACAGGCTGCTCCAATGTGAGCTTTTCTAATAGCCTGGGTGTCCTTCTGGCCAGAGATGACCCTATTCTCCTGGCACCCAGGGAGGCTGAGAGCCTGGGGCAAAGAAGAGAAACAGGAGCAAAAACTGAGGAGGGGAGGACGAAGTGGACAGAAATCACAAACTTAGCACAATGCTGTCCAGTAGAAATATAATGTGACCACAGATGTAATTTTAGATTTTCTAGTAGACACATTAGAAAGGTAAAAGGAAACAGGTGAAATTAATTTTAATATATTTAATTTAACCTAATATAAGCAAAATGCATAAGCGTTTGCAGCTCAACATGTAATCAATATAGAAATTTACTAATGAGATATTTTATATTCTTCTTTTCATAGTAAGTCTATATACCTTCAGCACATCTCAAGTCAGACTAACCACATTTCAAGTTCTCGGTCACTGCATGGGGCTAGCCAGTAGTGGCTCC